TTTACATGCATTAGGATTACTATGTCTTCAAACTATTTGTGAAAGCCCAGATTATGATGTCATGGTTTTTGAAACATTTTATTGATTAATTGACAACATTTGAATTAATTGGAGGCACACCCGTGGATGTATTTTAAGGCACACCTCAAACACACTGCTTCCTTTTGTGACAACACTGGAAATCTAAAGAAATCAGCCAAATATCAGGAAGAGAATTCTGGCATTTAATAAATAGAAATAATTTTTGTAATCCTAATTTATCTTAAACAGGAAAAGTTTAGTCTAATTTAATGTCAGACAGTGAGGAACAAAAAAGTGTTTGTATTTTTATACAGTGTATGTAAACCTCTAATTTAAACTGTAGATTTTCACCTCCAAATCAATTTTCTCAAGGCCCATTAACAATAAGGTGTTAATGGTGGTGAAACTGTCTGGGGAGTGATCTTAAGATTGACTAACATCATATAAAGATATATTGATGGCTTTGGAAGGAGACACTGATTCTCTCCTGCAACTATTCAGGCTCTACCAACTACCTCCTCTGGTACCAACAGAAGTCCAGTTCATCTCCACAGCTTCTATTCAGAGAAAACAGAAAGGTTGTCCTTCAAACATGGCAAAGGAGTTCCATGTGCAGTTCTCCTCAGCTGCAGGGACAGACTCTGTTGTGTACTACTCTGCTCTGGAGCCCACAGTGACAGGAAACAAAGAACATTTGAGGCAAAGACAACAGATCCCCCCACTACATCCACTAGAGGGAGACACACTCTGTTACACTTACATGGTTTGTTAAGATTAAGTCTGGATTCTTTGTTCTGATGATTAATGAGAAGAGAAATGAATCAACAGAATGTCTGAAGTGTAAAGTAACCAAAAGTCTTTGATCGAAAACAATGTGCTTCTGTTTACGCTGTGTTCCCCAGTTACTGTACAAATGTAATAAACTGTGATATTGGTGAAAACTACTCTCTTTACCTCAAACAGTGACAGTGATATTTCCCAGTGTAGACTAATGTGATACAATGACTTTGTCTCCAGTATAAATATTTGATTGTTTAATTTAATACCAGAAAAACACAAACATATGTCAGAGATGACGCTTCACAAGTAAAGTGATCTAACTGTTGGGGAACAGAGTTGTTAGTCAAGTCAGATCTGTTGCATTGAGATGTTACTTCCCAGTGAACTAATTTTATGTCTTTTATTTACAAATAATCACCACAGAAATACATACGATTTTAATGAAACAGTTGATGAACAGGACTGCAGCTAATTTTCACTAATGCCAATAGGACATTTTCCAAAATACTTCAGTAAGAGAAAAATAGACGGATGTTTAAGCTCACGTTAAATACAATAAATAAGGTAGCAACATCACCTCCTCTCAAGTATAGCAGAGATTGATAACAAACATCAAATTAAGTATTTAGTCTTCTCTTGTATGTACGACAATTTCAGTTGCATTTCTTTTGCAAATACAATGTGCTGCTGTCACCACATATCCATTTCACAACCTTAAATTGTGCAGTCTGACACAAATGGAAACCAGAATTTAATAGATCCATCTCTCACAGTGTGGCATGCAATAAACTCCCAGCATCATTGTTTCAGCACAGGCTGAAATCTTAAAGATCTAATTTTGCGTTTAATCAAGCTTTGTTTTGACAAACATTTCAGGACTACAGTGTCTCACCTGTGTGAGATCTCATGTGACTTTTCAGTGTTGACCCATATTTAAATTTTTGCCCACAGGTGAGGCAGTGGAATGGTGTCTCTCCTGTGTGAGTTCTCATATGGCGCAACAAATGGCCATGTTTAATGAAAGTTTTGCCACATGTTTCACAAGAATAAGGCTTCTCACCTGTGTGAGTTCTCATGTGGGCAGTCAAATTACCACTTTCACTAAAACTTTTCTCACATATTTCACAAGAATATGGTTTCTCACCTGTGTGAATTCTCATGTGGTGAAACAAATTACCACTTTGACTGAAACTTTTCCCACAAGTTTTACAAGAATACGGCTTCTCACCTGTGTGAGTTCTCATGTGGCGCGACAAATTAGAACTTAGACTGAAACTTTTCCCACAGGTTTCACAAGAATACGGTTTCTCACCTGTGTGAGTTGTCATGTGGACCAACAAAAGACTATGCTGACTGAAATTTTTCCCACATATTTCACAAGAATACGGCTTCTCACCCGTATGAATTCTCATGTGGTGCAACAAATTACCACTTTGACTCAAATTTTTACCACAAGTTTTGCAAGAATATGGTTTCTCACCCGTGTGAGTTCTCATATGGCGTGACAAATTACAACTTAGACTAAAATGTTTTCCACATATTTCACAAGAATATGGCTTCTCACCTGTGTGAATTGTCATGTGGACTTTCAGAGATTTACTATAACCAAAACTTTCCCCACATATTTGACAGACATACGGCTTCTCACCTGTGTGGATTCTGTGATGTTTCTTCAGTTGGTACTTATCTTTAAAAGCTTTTTCACAAAATTCACATTTTACAGACTTTTTCTCTGCCTCAGTATCACATCGATTCGCGATCATGGAAGAATAGTCCAGGTTGTTACTGTGACTGCTGTTTGGCTTCAGCTTTGTATTTTTACTTGATCCTGAGTCTACATGCTTGTTCCCTTCCTGATCACTGCTCTCAGCAACAGGTGAATTGTGAAAGTGAAGCTGGTCACTGTTTGGTTCTGGTTCACTGTGATGACTGTCTTCATAAGTAGAAGTCACCGTATAGGTGTCATTCTCCAGCTTCACTACAAGTAGCTCTTCATCCAGACTGGTGCAGAGTTCTTCCTGTTCATCTTTAATCTGTGGAGGCTCTGGGTTCCCCTGGTCCAGACTGGAGTTTCTCTCCTGGTTATCAAGCTGCCCCTCTTTCTGACAGACATGTTGCTGTAAGAGGTCTGGATGGACAACGGGAAACATGAAAATGTTACCTTTTAGGAACCTCCTCATTCCCAAACAGTTTCTTGTTGTTTTTTCCTCTGGTCACACACTTGGGGCTCAATTTTCACAGCAATATAAAGTCCTGTAGTCACAGAAGTAGCTAGAACAGTAAAAATGTTTTCTGGGCATTATGAAACAGTTATAATGCCATGAATCATAAAAAAGAAAGGCTTTAATTTCTTTGATAATTCATTTTACGAAATTAAAAAAAAAAAATTAAACAAAATCTATATGTACATTTATCAACAAGTGCCCCTAGGTCTAATAACATCTGGGGGAATGAACATGGAGATGGTGACATCTTGTAGGTACTTGGGTGTTCACCTGAAAAACAAACTGGATTAGTCTGATAACATCATTGTACTTTACAAAAAAGAACAGAGCAGACTCTGTCTGCTGAGAAGACTCGGGTCTTTTGAGGTACTGATAGCGCTCCTGAGGTTTTTTTGACCCCATGGTGGTATCAGCTATCCTGACTGGATGGACAGTTGCTTTCCTGACTACGTCAGCAATCAGAAAAAGATGTAACAAGCTGGCAAATACATCGAGTCTATGTATCCTTAAACTACCCTTAAACCCCAACTATACTTATATAAAATCAAAATAGTCCAAAAAATAATTGCAGAACAGTTATTGAAAACCAACCCTTTTATGTGTACAGAACAACAAAATGAAAAAAGAAAAGCTGACAGGGTAAAGTGCTGTCCCTATGGCACCTCTGCCACTGCAAAGCAGTCGTCCTAAGGCAAACACTACTGTCGTCCAAGTTTTAAGTCAGTTTTTCCTGTGCACACACTATCAGCCTACTGTTCACATGTTTACAGTTCAGAAAAGATACATTAATGCTATTTATTACGGTTTCTCTGAAAAACAAACAGAATGTAGTGCTCACATTAGTACTATGTGATTAATATAGATCAGTTAGTTCAATCAGACCATCACAATTCTACATACCTGTTGTGTCTAACGTTCTTCTGGGTTTCCAGATGTTATCCAGCAGTGTGCGTTGATGACAAATCTCTTCCTCGTACTGGTTGAGTGTTTTTTCAAAGACTCTGAATATTTCTTCAGAGAATTCTTCACATTTGGACTTGCACTGAACCAGCATTAAGATATGTGTTTCCTGATTTGGTACATCCTGATGTCTGTCCAGACTGGTGCAGAGTTCCTCTTGCTCCTCTTTAATATGAGGATGTTCTTGGTTTTCTTGATCTCGATTGGTGCAGAGGTCCTCTGGTTCCTCTTTAATTTCTAGAGAATCTGGGTCCTCCTGGTCCAGTCTGGAGTTCCTCTCCTGGGTACCCCAGTGGTGCTCAGGCAGAACCTCCTCTGCAGACACATGTTGCTGTGGGAGGTCTGGAAGGATGAAGGGACACAAGAAAAAGGTTACTTATGACATGATAGAAATCATGCATCCTTCCATCTATTAGGGTCAGAGCACTGAAAGTGCAAGGAACTCTTTGGAATCCTTCTGATTTTTAAAATTATTTTCTGACTAAACAAATGCATTTTCGAGGGCCCAAACATGCTCACAAACTCACCAAAATTTGCACACACATCCAAACTAGCGACCAATTTGATACTTTAGGGGACTTGGGCATGTGAGTGGCAAAATGGCTCCATAGGCCCCCCTAGAAAATTTCAACAGAGCACCGCCAGGAGTACATTTCACCCAGACCTACAAAATTTGGTAAGCATCTGTAGCACTTCAGGACCCACAAAAAAACAATCAAAACATTCAACAGAAGTCTAAGGGTGTGGAAATGGCGGTACCCAGAATTTCAACAATTCGCCATCAAACGGGAAGTGCTGTGTAACTGGCCTGTATGTGCTCCGACCTGCCTGAATCTTAACAGGTTTGATCCCAGTCCCGGCAAGAGCACATTTCCACACCGCCCCAACAGTCATTTGGCGAGGACCCATCCATCACTGCTTGCAGCTTTAATTCCTTTTCTTCTGCTTATCCAAAGTCAAGTTGCGGTTGGATGAGCAGGGCATTCCAGACATCCCTCTCCCTTTGCAACATTTTCCATGAAGTGTGACTATCGTACAATGAGGATGGCATGAAATTGTAAAACCACTGACTACTGCCTAACAAATAATACATTTCAAATTGAAATCACAGTTTAAAAACAACAGAATTAACAAATCAAAAAGGCTGCAATTCAGGATATAGGAGGTGTGGCCACCAAATAATGACAAAAATGTTGTTATCCAGTTTTATTGAGCTTTCACAGATTAAAACTTTAAGGACAATCAGAATCCATCCATCCATTATCTATACACCGCTTAATCCTCACTATCCCAGCTGACTCAGGGTGAAGGCAGGGGACACCCTGGACAGGTCCACCGCAGAGCTACACTTAGAAACAGACAACCAAGCACACTCACATTCACACCTATGGACAATCACCAATTAACCTCAACACGTTTTTGGGCTTGTGGGAGGAAACTAGAAATTTAAAAAAATATGAATTTCACAAATCAAATTACAATATCTGTCAGAAATAAACGATGTCTTATTCTAACCATTCAGCCCATTTATTGCCACAACAGTTTAATGTTTATGATTTGCTAATTACATTGCTTCTAATTACAACCTAAAATAGATTAATTGTTTAGTCCTAGTTTTACCTACCAACAGGGTTCTACAGTGTTGCTCAAAAATCTCTTTAAATTTCATGTTAAATGTCCATATAGGTAATGCTGCAGATGCAACAAATTCAACAGTAGATTTGTTCTGGACAAAACGTTTAAATCTCAGAACTAATTTCAAATTCTAAGCAGAATTCACAGACTGCATGTTGTTTATAATGCATCCATTATTCAAGCACAAAGCAGCCCCGTCCTCTATTCGCAGCTCAGATCTTATTTTTCTGTTTTCACACTGAACTTTTAGTTCATTCATTTTCTCCGGTGTTTTATACAAACTGTGTGTTTTATGTGAAATTTCTGTGTTTTACAAAAGAGATTCATTCATGCTGTTTCTCTCTGAACAATAACTGCAGCTGCACCGTCATTTCTGTCTGTGCAGTTAAAAATAAAGTAACTCAGAGCTCTGATTAGGATCCTATGTGAGTCTTATTCATCAGTTAGTTCATCACAGTTCTACATACCTGTCGTGTGTAACTCGGTCCGTGGTTTCCAGATGTTATCCAGCAGTCTGCGCTGACGATCGATCTCTTCCTCGTACTGGACGATGGTTTTCTCAAACTCTGTGAATATTTCTTCAGCAGCAGCAGTTAGTCGCTCGTTGATCAACTCTCTCAGATTCTGAAGTGAACTCATCGTTACTTCATCTGATGAAATGTTCTCCTGAGACACGACAACACAACCGTGTACACATCGGTAAAGCTGACGACGTTGAAGACTTTTATTGTTTACTTCCGCCTGGTGTCGCAATGTGAAGTTCCGACAGAAACAACAAGTGAACCTTAAGTTTCCGTTTTGTTCTACCTTTTCCATCTCTCTCTTATCACGGAGTTTCTAGTTGGGATATTACCTGTGCGTTTATCAAAACTATATATGAACAGATTCTGAACAATAGCAATTTTCAGGTTCTGCCAACTACCTGTACTGGGACCAACAGAAGTCCAGTTCGTTCAGCGTTTCATCATCATCTTATCACCATTTTACTGCTTTACAGCTGCACAGCTAATTGTTCTTCTTTAATCAATCATCTTTATTTACTCATGTTTTCCTCTACTGTCCTCACACTAAACAGCCCCCAACATATAATGACAATGATACACACACATACTGACAGTTGCACACAGGAGTCTCCCCTAAGGATTATGTTGGTTCACTAAGTCACGTTAGATTTGCCACTTGAACTTTACTTGTACATACTTTTTTCTTTATGTACTTTTGACACTAGTGACAGCATCTATATTTTGTAATTTAATTATTTTTTAGTTAATGAATTTCCAAAGTGCAGCTGTCAAAACACTACTGTTATTTAAAGTAAAACAGCTGTGCAAAAAAACAGAAAAACCATGAAAGTCTTTTCCTCTTCACATTTGTTTTTAAATAAAGAACCTACATACAAACTTCATCTGGCTGACTGATGACTGCCACCTATCATTTGGGTCAGATAGCTGCAGCCCTCCTCCTAGTCTTCCACCCCCAGTTTTTATGAGATGTCATCAGCAGTGCTGCTCCACATCACATCCATCCAGATGTTCAGTTTGGTTCTTCACCCTGTTCCATCACCACCAGACGGCGTTCAAACTCCATCTCAGGTAACTGTCACTGGTTAAATCTTTTCCTTTGGCCATCTTTAGTCTGTGCTTGGACTTGTTGCATCTGATTGTGATTGTTTGTGCCTTCTTGAAGTATTGCATCTCTCTCTGTCATGATTTGTCTCTTTTGATCATTTTGTGGCCATTTTCAATTTGATGGTTTTGAATCTGGTCTTGGTCCATTTTATATCGAGTTGGGGTTGTTTTGTGTCTCTTTTCAGTCCCTTTGCATCTATTTTTAGTCATTCTGGAGATGTTTTGAGTATCATGTTGGTCATTTTGCATAGTGATTGTTCTGCACATCTTTGTGTCATTTTGAGTCTTTTTGTCCACAACGGATCTACTTGTGGTTGTTTTGCATTTAGCGGAAGTCATTGTCCATCTCTTTAGTGTATCAACAGCCACAGCAGCAGTAGTGTCTGGTCCCAGTAACAGCAGTAGCAGAAGGCTGGATGCAGTATGTGCTTGCAGCCACTAGAGGGCAGCAGTATAACACTGATAATCCGGACTGCAGCAGCAGCATCATGCAGACACTTCTTTATAAAGACATTAATAACAGCTCAGGAGATACAAATGCTGTGTAGCTGAAGCAGAATATTCAGATGAGTGAAATATATGAAATATACAAAACATGTCAAATGTAAACAATAGGTATTTCTTTAGTGCACTCTCAGGACCGCACTTCTAGGACCCCTGGCATGCCAAAGGAAGTACATACTTCATTTTGTTGTTGTGCCAAAGTATTTTATTTTAGCTTTACAAAGTTGAGCAACAGAATGGGCAGTGGTATTTTTTGCAGCATCTGGTGTTCAATATGGGGAAGGATCTCCCATGTTGTTATGTGCACCTTCACAACAGAGAGGACAGTTGGTCAAAATGTACCTTTAATTGATCACTGTGCAAACATGAATAAATCTAAATTAGGCCCAATCGTAGAACTGGACCAAGGACATACTAAATGTCTCAACATTACAAAACAATGTCACAATGAAAAGACTATCTATGAAAACACGTACTGTGGACAAAAATGTAGTTTCACTGTTTAACGTATTACAGCAGACATTTGGACTCGTCACAGGTGGAATAACTGATGACAGAGTTCCATAAAGGTTCTCAGTAAACTATGAGAGAAAACCAGCAGCTCTAAGAGGAATCCAGCATTAATGCACCTCTGAATTAAACTGGGGGGCTGCAGGGTGGCGCAGTTGGTAGCACTGTTGCCGTAGAAGGTTGCCGGTTCGCGTCCCGGTGGGGGCACCGGAATCTTTCTGCGTGGAGTTTGCATGTTCTCCCCGTGCAGCGTGGGTTCTCTCCTGGTTCTCTGGCTTCCTCCCACACAGTCCAAAAATATGTTGAGGTTGATTGGTGATTCTAAATTGTCCGTAGGTGTGAATGTGAGTGTGCTTGGTTGTCTGTCTCTAAGTGTGGCCCTGTGATAGACTGGCGACCTGTCCAGGGTGTCCCCTGCCTTCGCCCTAAGTCGGCTGGGATAGGCTCCAGCCCCCCCGCAACCCTCGTGAGGATTAAGCGGTGTATAGATAATGGATGGATGGATGGATGAATTAAACTGGGACCAGTTCAGATACCTGCAATGTTATTATCTTAATTAAAACTGTAAAACAGTGAGTATTGAACAGACATTCAGACTGAAGGTTATTGATGCTTATTGTAGACAGACAGTGATCATTTCAACATGCTTCTATCATCTGATGAAGTATTAATATGCTGTCTATAGTTAATTATCATCATCTCTGAGTTAAGCTGCCAAAATCACATGGTGACTTAGTTAAATAAATCAGCAAATGTGCTAAATGTTGGTTTTAGAGCAGCTTTTATTAGATAAAACCTGACTGTTTGCTGTGTTAAATGAAGAACTGAAACATAGTTTGTTTCTCACGTTAGCAGGTTAATAACAGCTTTGTTGCACACATGAAGACATCAGAAATGTTTGACATTAAATAATAAAACCATTCATGATCAGTACTCACGTTGTGACTGTCATAGAATAGAATAGAATAGAATAGAATAGAATAGAATAGAATAGAATAGAATGCCTTTATTGTCACTATACACATGTACAATGAGATTAAGAGCAGCTCCTTCAGTGCAACATAGAATAAAGAACAAAATAAAGAGCAAAAAATCATCCATCATAGCGAGAAATGCTGTTACTTCTTGTGGAACACCAGGGTCCTGAGAGTGCAGCCTCTGGCTCTGCAGACATTCCCTACTCCCCTCTACGCCAAAAGAGGGACAGAAATTTGTCTTTAAAAACAGAACTTTGAAACATTGTTAAAAACAACAACAACAACAAAACTTACTCATGAAGAAAAACAATGAAAATCATTTCAATGAAAAATTATTTTTTCAATGCCAATCTGTTACTGTCTCTGTTTTAGCTCCACAATCCATCCACTATCTATACACCGCTTATTCCTCACGAGAGTCGCGAGGGGGCTGGAGCCTATCCCAGCCGACTTAGGGCGAAGGCAGGGGACACCCTGCACAGGTCGCCAGTCTATCGCAGGGCTACACTTAGAGACAGACAACCAAGCACACTCACATTCACACCTACGGACAATTTAGAATCACCAATTAACCTCAACATGTTATTGGACTGTGTGGGAGGAAGCCAGAGAACCCAGAGAGAACCCACGCTGTATAGGGAGAACATGTTAACTCCACACAGAATGATCCCGGATGTCCTCACTGGGATGCGAACCGGCGACCTTCTTGCTGCGAGGCAACGGTGCTAACCACATCACCTTGCAGCCCCTGTTTATTTATGCTTTTAAGAAAAATATTGCCAACAGAATATTGCATAAATAAAGTGACCATGTAACTTTCTTGTTGCTGCTGTTGTCCACCTCCAGATGAGCAGGTAGTGAAGCCTGTGGTGAGTGTGTACCCAGCAGCATCCAGAGCCCACCTGGAGGGGAAGAG